GTTTAAACGAGTAAACTTTAAGGGGATTTATTACAGAGCAATAGAAACTAAATACAGAGAAAAGTGGGAGTGAGCCGTCTCCTGGGCCTCCTTCTGCAGAAGACAAGCTACGTGGCCCTTAGGCATAAGAGCAAGTCTCTAAAGTCTGTGCTTATCGTATGCAGCAAGACGGATTTGTATTATTAAATACTTTTTCCTTGATTTGTGTGACCTTCTCAAGGGAGCCCTGATCCCAAACCAGGGACATCTTGCAAAAAGCATTCTATAGAGGAGGACTTCTTGAAACTCTCTGACTGTTTATCAGGAGGCCAGTTATTAGCATATATAAAAAGATATTAGCCGAGATCATTTGCCTTCTTTCCCTTGCGGGGAACTCTCTAGAAAGGGGGAAAGAAATGGATCCCAGGCTCTGTCTGGACTCTCTTTCCTCTTCTTCTTCTATTCATTCGACTTGGAGCAATTTCTTTCCAGATCAAGCAAGATGGCTGCCGTGAGCTCCAGTCCTAGTCCATCCCATCAGTGACCCAACCGGGAAAGACAGTGTCCTTTTTTCTCAATCTTCTAGAAAAAGTTCCAGTCTAACACTTACTGGTTCTGATTGTCCAGGCGCATGCGTAGAACTGCAGGTGGATTGGTCACATTTAAACCCAATGAACGAATCGAGGAGATTTAGTGTTCTAAGAAATAGGAGGAATAAATGATGCACCTGAAAAGTGTGTGTGTGTGTGTGTGTGTCCTTCTGAAGTGGTGTCCATCCAGTCTATTTTCCATCCTGTTGCTAAAAAAAGAGATTTCTAAAATGAAAGTCTGAATATTCTGTAAATCAACATCTCAATGATAGAGTCCACGTCTTGTTCATGATATAAGCTAGAGAAATGCTGGTGGCTATTTCAAATAACCCCTGTGTTTTAGTAGCTTAGCACAGTGAAATTCCATTTCTTTTAATTTTTTTTAAATTTTTTAGTTGTTGATGAACTTTTATTTTCCTTTATTTGTATGTGGTGCTGAGAATCAAACCCAGTGCCTCATACATGTTAGGCAAGCGCGCTACCATTGAGCTACAACCCTCGCCCAGAAATTCCATTTCTTTTTTTTTTATTATTGATTGTTCAAAACATTACAAAGCTCTTGACATATTATATTTCATACATTAGATTCAAGTGGGTTATGAACTCCCATTTTTACCCCAAATACAGATTGCAGAATCACATCGGTT